AAGTAAGAATGATAATTGAAATGTACGAAAAAGATGTGAGAAAAAAAAAAATTCCGTTCTCGAGTGGATAAAGATGACGAGTTATCGACGTTATCTATCGATCCACCTCGATTGGACGAAACAAAATGTGATAGGCACCTTTGGTACGACTGTTCCTGGTGGCCCAAGGCACTGTATGTCTTTGTAATGGCGCGTCCCAAGCTTCGTGCTCTTCGTCAGATGCCAATGACGACGCGTATCTGCGAGAACGTGATCTTCAGTCCACAAAACTTCAAAGAGTTTTTAAGCGGCTCTTATGTTGAGATAGAGACGGCACACACAATGAAAGACGAAAAATAATGACAAAACAGCACATTTATAAAAAGAAAGCACAACGCGAAAGCGCGTGGTGAAACAAAAACTTTTGTTACTTAGCGACAAAAAACTTTTGTCGTTTGTATTGTTTTTTTTTTCTTTTTTTCTTTTTTTTGTCGAATTTCTTGCACGCGATCAAAACACAGAAAACTATACAATATAAAACTACACACGAACACGATCAATGATAAATGATATCTAATGAAAGGACAATTGACGCTAATTTTATCCGAACAATTTTCTAAAAAAACAGGAGGAAAGGAAAATTGGGAGGAGAATAACATAAAATCGACTCACCCAACGTTTTTCATTCCTTTATTTGGATAAGTAAATGGTAACTCGGAATAAAAGTTGAAAGGTAACTTGTGCACTTCGGGTGGTCTCGTTTGGCCTAAGTACGCGGATGGCGAAACATTAGTATTTACTTTATCTATGGATATCCCATTATTCGTCGTCGCGAGAGATACTACTATCGCTTGATTGAACAGATGCACCTGTTTAAAATAATTTTAAACGATGAAATTTTAAGTTAAAAAGCTACACACATATACACACACATATATATATATACATATACATGAAACTTATTAACTTCTTTTAATAGAAAGATAGAAAAATATAGAGACTCGTTTACTTGTTGCGAAAATTGCACGAGGTCTTGATACCGGGCTGCACGGTACCGTAGAAGAACTTGAAACATGCTCTTCGATCTCCATTTGCTGCTGTAAAACTTCATCATATCTATCATTTGCATACTCATCTTCTCCTTCGTTAAACGAGGCTTCATCTCCGCCCTCACTAAATGTCCCCTGTACACTATTTTTCATACAACATATTACAATTAATCATATATAATATTTGAAGAATCGAGAATGAACAATGAAAAGTGAATTATACGAACGACAATGAAAACTATTAGGCTCGTAAAAAAAAACTTCCCCGCCCCCCTCTCCCCCTCCCCCGCTCATTCACACACATCTTATTCATATCTATATATTGTCCTACCTTTCTGAACAACTACAGCTGCCTCTTCTTCCGTTAGCTCCACCGCACTCTTTTCCTTTATAGACGCTTTCTTCACTGAAACAATACCCGTTAAATTTCTTGTCAT